TTGTGGTATTCTGTTTGTGGTGTGATCTGTCTTCTTTGTGATGTGGCATGATTGTGTTATTGGGTTCGTTTCTTTTGAAGGGGAAGTGATGTGTTGTGAGTGAGGACATATTTTACCTCAGAATACAGTAGGTTCCATATGCAACTGACAATTCCAACTGCCTTGGGGGGGGAGTTTGAGGTGTGGAATGGAGTGAAGTCCAATCAGCTTCCATATGCAAAAGACCTTGAAACGCTCGGCGGGACTGCACAAAGCAGCCAGTCAACCCAGCCAGCGTCTTCTGACTGACAGTTCTTACAGCCAAACACTAAAGGTGTGCATTTGGAACGTTGGAGCCCACTATGGCTTTATATATAAGGGAGAGATTAGATACATTCAGTATTTTGAAAGGAACAACAATGATCCCCAGAACACAGAATGCAATACTTTGAAAGGTAGACTGCAGTAAAGCACTAGCAATGCAAATACATCAGGGTAGGTTTTACACAGATGGATTGGATCATATTTATTAGCAAATGGTTAAAGCTCAGAAGCACTAATGATCTCACCATGTATTATGGTTTTCCCCAGGTATTCACAACAAGAGGTATGTCACAAGTTATGCTCTGGGAACTCAGTTCCCAGCAGAATGCACTCTGACTTGCATCTTGACCATGGCACACAGGGAGAGGGTATTTATGCTCCCCGCCTCCCCAATGCCATTTCTGCTACCCATAATGGCCAGGACGGGTGCATTAGGCACTCCATAAATACCAACACAGTACATGCAAGTTTTGCCAATAGAAAAACTGTGCACTCCCAGAGCCATCTCACTTCCAGAAAGCCATGTGGAGAAGGTGGACGCCTAAGCATCTTCTCCTTGCATACCATAGTCCTCATCTGAATTAGGCCCATTCAGTATCAGGAAGTAAGTTCCCAGCATAGAACTCGCAACATGAGTCTCATGATCTAAACCCAGGGAGAATGTAATATGTTAACTGAAATCAAGGGAAGTTTTCTCCTCAAGTGAAAGATTCATTCACTGAAGTACAGAACACCTTCCCTTAACTGAAGTAATTCAGTGCAAAACTAGTTATTTTTTAAACATTTACAGCAATGTATATTATTTATACATATCTTGCTGTTCCTGGGAAAGCACAGAGCGGCTCATGTGTGGCAATCAGGAATATCCCACCCCAAATCGGATCTGATTCATCTCCCCTTTGCTTCAGCAAAGCCAAACCAAGTTGCTCCGAGATCATTCACTGGAACAAGAAACTCTTGTATTCCAATTATTAACAAACAGACCATGCATTAAAGACTCCTCTCTTTCAGAGCTATTTCGGAAGGAGCCATATGAGCGCAAGTGCCAACTAAAGCACTCAGTGGGACATATGGATCATGCACTGAAGGATAGTCTTTTGATAAGATTAATGTTAAGCCATGAATTATCCTAATCATATTGACTTTAGATGTATTGTAAGGTAATCCCCAGTGTCTAATCAGCCTTTTCTATCTTACTAAAAGAAGCTCCTGGGAAGTAAAAGCCCAACACTACCCAGCAGTCCTCCTGATCTACCAGTAATAATTCAGATAACAAAATATGAAAATGGAGCATCTTGCTATTTCTTCTTAATTAAATACAACAGTATATCTCATCCTGCTAGATTTACCTGCAGCTGCTGCCATGATCAATTCTTTTCCTTCCCAAAAGTCAAAAAGCATGGAAGGAAGCCTCTGGAAGATTTCTCAGCCCTTCACCACAGAAGCTAGAAAGGAAATGAATCCTCAACCAACCAACGCACTTAACCAGCCAACTCCAGCATCAGGATTCAATCCTTAAATTATAGTCAATCTCTATGAAAAGTGACTGAGGGCCACTATGCACAACACATCCTGTGTATTACTCTGTGTATATTCATGAAAACCTCAAGTTTCAGCTTTTGGCATGCATAAGCAAATGCTCGAAAGCAGCCCTTGTGGTAATGAGCCCTCCAAAAGTAATTTTTCAAGTGACTCACATACCCAATGACCATATGAATTTGCCCCGATAGAATCACAGTCCCATCCTAAGAATACCTCCCTAGAAGTAAGCCCCACTGAATAGACCTGAGTAGGAGTCTGACCAGATCTGCTTAGAATTGCTCACTTAGACACTCAAACTGGCAGCCAGACACAGTATCAAGAGCTACCTGATCTCTTCTTCCCAGGTGAAAAAAATGCAAAGGAAAATACATTTTACAATGTAAAAACTCTGTATACATTCTACTGCTGGAGAAAGGCAGCATCACACTCTTTTTTTGAAAAGTAATTATGATTTATTAGCTAGCAGGGAGTATGATGAGGATGAGGGGGCAGAGTTATGTACCTCATCATTAATAAGGCATAAGCCAGTGCATAATATTCATGGTTCCCCACAATCAACAGAATATGAACCAGACCAGTGGTCCATCTAGTCCAGCATCCTGTGTGAAGATGTTGTGTGAGGATCAAGGTGAAGGTGGACTCAGGGTGGAGGGCAGGACAGATTCGGGGCGGGGCATGAGTTTCAGGGAGTCCCACCAGGGCTACAGGCCTGCTCCTGGCTCTGGGATTCAGAGGTTTAGTCATCATGGCTAGTGGGCACTGATAAGACCTATCCTCCACTAATCAGTCTAATCCCCTTTTAAAGCTGTTGATTCCTGTGGCCATCACTACATCCACTGGCAGCAAATTTCACATTTTAACCACTCTCAATTTTATTACAAAAGGTAGAGAATGGAAAGTAACTTCTGAACAACTTGACATTGTGGGACTTTTACTAAAAGTGTGCAACCTAAAATGTCACTATTGCTTATTAAAAGGTCCTGTTTTAACATCCCTGACTACTTATCCCAGAGGTATTAGGAAATTTTGATCTTCTTTAGCCAAGATTCTAGAAGCAGCCAGCCAGCCAGCCAGCCCCCCCCCCCCTCTCTCATACATGCACACCCTATACATTCTGACCAAGACAGGGGGGAGGGAGGGCAGGAAGGGAACTCACCAGTCTTCAGTGAAAAGGGAGAAAAAGCCTCCCTGGGAATCCATAATAATTCACTGTAACCCTTTGCTTGACTTGAAATCACAGCAAGAACTCTCTTACTGAACAAAATCCCTTACTATGATTTTAAGTCAAGCCAAGGCTTAAAACGAGTTACTAATAGATTCCTAGAGAGGCTTTTAGATGTTGCTGAGACTCAGAGATTACAAGCCAGGTAAGAGGGGGGAAATCGACATTTCTTCTCCCTCCCCACAGCAACCAGGGCAGGGCCTCATGAATTTTGTTCCCCGGTCTCCCATTCGCAGAGTCAGCAGCTCTGCTATTAGCATTTGAAATTCACAATACATTCTCATTTTTAAGCCACAGTGGTAGTCAGGGTTGCAGCCCACCCATCCAGACGTATTATCTATGTTTTCTATCTAACCTATAAAGCTACAAAGAAAAACCATTTATCAAGTTAAACAACAAAGTCATAATCAAGGTATTCCAGATGCTCTTTACTGCAGAGCTGGTGAAGTTTCTCTTGACCTCACAGGCAACAGACTTGGAAATTAACAGTTGCAAAATAAAGGGAAGTATTAGGCCTCATCTTTACCTGGATGAGATAGTGAGAGCATAAACTAAGTAGCTCTAGCAACTGCAGATGACTGCCTGCAGCAAGCACATCTGGGATCACTCCTGGCTCCAAGAAAATCTATAAGGGAAAATAAAAATGAAAATAGTAAGCCTATAAAATGCTCTGAAATATGACACAACTAGCAGTCTTTTCCCCAGAAAACACTAGATATACAACAGAAATTATGCATTTTATTTGAAAACATTTTTGCAAAGAAATATTTGAAAGCCAATACAGTCTTTTTAAGCACTATTTTGGGATGGTGGTAAGAAGATGGAAAACTTATCACCCATGTAGCTAACAAAAGTTCTGAGCTGCGACACTCATACATTACACATGCAAACATCACCTCCCTCAGGGTGATTCACATAACCAATAAACAGTGGCTACTTTTTTCTTCAGCCTTTGTATCGTTGACAGCCCAAGGTAAGGAAAACACTCGAGTCTGAGTTGTTTACCACATACAGAAGCTAAAACCTTTGTTACCACTATTAAATCCATCTTTATTGACCTTTGTTCAATATGGATCTGAATCAGATTATATACATTGTGTGCATAATCTGAAATCTTTTTTCCCTATATTTGCACAAACTGCACAATCCCAGAGTGATATTTCTACACCAGAGGTATCAAACTCATTTGTTACAAGAGTCAGATCTGACATAAATTTCACTTGGTTGGGCCAGGCCATGTGTGCCATAAAATGTAACACAAGGTATTGGAGATATCAACTTTATAAAGATGATTTCAGATGCTGAATGGCAATAGTAGGCGTGATTGGATTAGGTGTGATATGCAGGGGGTGGAGATATCAGCACTGGTAATGAGACAGGAAACCTAGGTCTCAATTTGGTACAGGAGGATTCAGTCCAGGAGGATGCAAAGAATAAATGATAATAAGTCTGACAATGCAGACTCCTGGACTAAATTGGGACCTAGGTTTCTTCTCTCATTACCAATGCCTGCTGTTGTCTTTTGGCATCTGAAATCACTTCACTCTCTAAGATATAAGGACAGATGGACTCACATTCCAGATGTATCTGAAGAAGTGAGCTGTCACTCATGAAAGCTCATGCCCTGCCACAAATTTTGTTAGTCATTAAGCGACTGCTGTACTCTTGCTCCCTTTCACTAATAAGGAATGCAAGCTGTGCTGTTAAGGTTCCCCCCCCCCACCGCCATCTGTTAGAAATGGAAATGAGGATCTCTCCAAGTGCCATGGGATGGACTCACTCTCTTCTCACACCTGGAATAAAATATTTTTGGTCTTATGCACAGGACTCCCCCCACAATCCCTGGAATCACATGATTGGGGCTTTTTGTGGTCTTCAGC